GAGATTTCAGGTGACTGTAGAATCCTCGCGACAGTTTCAGTTTGTATCCCGTGTTGATTCTCCTCCCAGTGACTCCAGAACCAAAATCAGTCCCACACAATTCGTTTTGAAGTTGCTTCAACAAAAGTTCCGCGGCAGCTACGTTTCACCAAAAAGCTAGGGGAGAAAAAGACTGACACTTCAATTTCATCAGTTACTAGCTTGCAAAACATGTCTTCTAAAAGAAAAATAACTTAAGAATTTGTATCCCGTGTTGATTCTCCTCCCAGTGACTCCAGAACCAAAATCAGTCCCACACAATTCGTTTTGAAGTTGCTTCAACAAAAGTTCCGCGGCAGCTACGTTTCACCAAAAAGCTAGGGGAGAAAAAGACTGACACTTCAATTTCATCAGTTACTAGCTTGCAAAACATGTCTTCTAAAAGAAAAATAACTTAAGAATAGTCTCATCCCTGATCTACAGCAGGAGTCTGTGTGGCTGCACCATACGCCGCAGGAGCACACGCTACGCAGGCTGCCACTGCTCCGAAAAGCAGTGAGCCTAAACCTCTGGTAAACCTAAGAGTTCTAACATTTTCCTCTTCTATATAAAATAAACAGTAACATTTAAAAAAAAAAAATCCTAATATATTCAAGGAGTTATTAAAATATTTTTGTAATAGACTTCATTTTCTTTAGGGTACGCAGGAAGTTGTACAGCACATTAAGTTGTGAGACTATCCACTTACCAGCAAATAGCATTCTACACGTGAACACACAGACCACGACAACTCCAAAGTCCTCGTCTGGAGACGCAGCGTCAGTAGCAACAACCAATGGATCTAGTCTTTCACTAACTGGGACATGGCAATGAAGACAACATTTCACATACATGGACAATTAAGTTCATCTTATTCTATAATCGAGCTGCCTCGGTATATTTCAGTTAGAATAATTCTCGCTCCATTTTCATCTGTAATTCAAAGAAGCATTAGCCAGATTTCTCTAATACCTCTTCTACACTCTCCACTTGTATGTTCCATACAGGGGAAACCTCAGATGACAGCATTGCCACTGGCACGCTGCAGGGAGCTGTGAGCCTGCTCAGCTCTCCAGGGCTGCTGGACTCACACACCCATCTCCAGCAGAGATCTTTTGGTCTGCACCCTCTGCCAGGCCCGAAGCACAGACGTTCCTCAGAAGTCTCTTCCCCTCTGCCCATCAGATGTGTCCATTTCCACCGAGGACGCGCTCTGCGGCGCTTCTGCTTTCTCCTGTGTGCTTCTGCCACGGCCTCACCAGATGCCCAGAGAGCCTGTGCAGGGAAGGGATGCAGTCTCAGCCTGCTCAGGGGTCGGCATCACCACAGCACGGGGTGCATTAAAAACCTGGGTATCTTGGCCAAATATTTTTTTTTGTTTACTTAGGAAACCCCTTATCTCTTCATATCAGCTGCAGGAACCAGCTTCAACAAGCTGCACTCTCCTTACAGTAACATCACAGCTTCACAATTCCACAAAAAAAGCCTTCCCAGATAGACAAAGCTTTCAGTACTGTCCATTTTGCTGCCACCTTTTCTAGCATTTGTACAGTTTTCTTCCTTTCTCTGGCAGGAGACCGTTTTCTTTGTCATGTCCACATTCATATCTGGTTAGAAGGTTCACTAGTCCCCCAGCATGCTGACCTGGCTCTGCCAGCTCTTATTCTCCACGTCTGTCTTCATCTCGATGTTAGTGCTATAACTTATTCCCATATGGTGAATAACACGTTATCAAAATGTTTGAACAATACAGAAGATTCTGCCTGGAGACTGACACCAGTGTCAGATCCAACTCCTGTGGTCAGTTTCAGCTCAAAATGATTCTGAAAGCAGGTGGCTTTAACAGGAAAACCAATTTTTCTTCCCATGCAAATCTATTTTCTGCCCCAGGAACCTGAGCAATTGTTTTTAAAAGTTCAAAATCATTAGTTTTTAGGCCTAAATATATTTGCTACAACTTGAAATATGTAATGCCCTGACACCACTTCCATTGCTTACTTCATAGCTGTCCATGTAACAGTTCATCTAACAGTCAAGTACAGTAGTTTAAGAACTCAGTTGCAAAAACCGATTCACAGAATCACCTTGCTCTTCTGCTTGAAAGTGTGTGGATTTCTGAACACATTCTGCAACAGAAACACTTTATGTCCATCAGTGTAACATCTGTAAGGAAATCCTGGCTTCTGCACACACAGATCTGAAGTTCAAGACCAACTTTTGATAATTACAAAACATTTTTTGCTCTAACACACCTTTGGTCATACCTGTTTAGCATTTTTAACCACACAATAGCAGCCTTTCAGCCCCAGCCCCTCATTCAAACACACAAACAGTACTACTTCTAGGTAGGAAGCATAATCTCAGCCTCACGGCAAACCTTGTGGGAAAGACCTGCACTGGAAGAAATACTGACTGCAAACACAAACAGCGGTTCCCTGCCGAGGATCAGCCATTTGATTATTGGTCTGTGCTACACTTCAACGTGGTAAGAGTGCTATTCTACTGGGAATGGTGTTCATCAGATAATTAGCTTCGTTCAGCCTGATTGGGATGCGGATGATTTCACGGCACTTTTCAGAAGCAGTATGTGGAACTCCAGGATCCCAATTAACACGCCATCCCCGCTACATGTGGTGTTTAAGGCGGTATACAAGAGGTATTGCTGAGTACAGTCAATAGCTGATACAGTCAATTAACCTATGGAAATTGTGCTACCTGTACCTCATCCTAGGCTCTGTAAAACACAAATGCTCACGAGCTATGCAGGTCACTTAAAAAAAAAAATCTTCTTTGAATGCCCAAGAAATCAAAACACTGTGTTGCTAATGTTCTAATGGCAGGTATTTTTGTTTCTTTTTTCAAGTTAACTGACACGTGACCCTTATTAGATATCAAAGAGAGATATACAAGAACCAAGGGGGGAAAAAAACCCCAACAACAAGAAACAAAAACCCAAAGCATGGAGTTGTTCTACACTGCAGCTTTTAAAACAGATTCTTTTCACAGTGTCAAAAAGCAGTATTTCTCCACTCCAGCTTTGCTCTAAACCCAACAACTGTTGTGGCCTATGTGATGCCTAATATATGGAAGATGGATGATAATTTTTAGTTTAGAAGTGTTTAGTTTGCCTCAGTACATACACTGGTAAGTGCCCTTTAAAAATCCCAGGTATGACAGTGTCAGAAATGGGTCATACTTGCACTCCAGGCACTGGCCTCTCACATTTCAGAGCTGCAACTTATTCTCGTTTTGAACAGTTCTATGCAACCACTGGCTAACCCTGCCAAATCATTTAGGGTTTTATCTTTTCACAATGCATGTTGAGGTTAAAAACCCTGAGAGCTTTTAAGATAGCACTGATTGGCAGCAGAGGTTTCTTGAAATAGTTAGAAGGGGGGGAAAAAAGTGACACAAAAATACTTCATTTCAACGTAGGGGTAAGATCAGAGAAAGATAACTTTTAAGAGGTAAGTTTAAATTTAGCTTTACGGAGTGCTTTCAGTTATCCAGTGCTTAAAAAAAAAAAAATCAGGTTATTTCACAGACTTGTCCCCTGTGCTCTTTCCTCCATCTGCCCAGACACAAAGAGGTCTCTAAATGCACAGCAGATGGTTTACTTGCAGCCCACACCAACAGTCTTTCAAAAAGTGTTAGTCTTGAGTCTCCTAATCAGAGAGAAATGAAACAGTTAACCCCGTAATCCACAGTAGAGACGCAGACAGAGACCTGAAGGAAGATTGCTGTTCACAGAAAACACCAAGTAAGACTAAGAACGGTGCCTGAAGACCTGCCAGGTTTTGCAATCCAACCCGTCATCCATCTGTAGCCTTTCAGGGCATTACCACTAGTTTAGGCAAGAGCACAAACCAACCATTTGCTCCTCTCAGTCCCAATCCCTACACAGGGCCGCTTTTAATTGCTTAATTGACGCAGGTACTGTCATTTCTTAAACCGAGCACAGCCTGAGGCAGCTTCCCTGCATCCAGTACCTGGCCTGCATCGCCCTGCTGACAGACCTTGCTGTCTGTAGCAGCACTACAAGTGAACGAGTCGAAGTCCACCGTTATGTCTTGAACGTTCCTTTCATTGGCATTGTCAAAGCTATTTTTACCATGTAGCTGTTTAAGATGTTTCCTCAGAACAGGTTTGTGCGCAAACACCATGTCACAGTAGTTACACTTATGGGGCTTGTCCCCACTGTGCAGGTTGAGGTGGTCCTGTAAGGAACACTTCTGAGAGAACGTTTTCCCACAGATCTTACATTGGAAGGGTTTGATGCCTGCGTGCACTCTCATGTGCCGGTGGAGATTGCCCTTCTGAGTGAACGTCTTGCCACAGAGGAGACACATGAATAGTTTATGCATCTTTAAGTGATTAGCATAGTTTTCCAGATGCCGGAACACTCTTGTGCACTTTGGACACTGATGGTGCCACTGGAGGCCTTTGTCTATACCCCGGTTGTTAGGCCCAAACATATCCTTAGAGGCCAGAATGATGTTGTCGCTGCCGGCGTAGGAAAGGGCATAGTTGTGGAGGTGGTTTTGCTCTATTTCACTTGCTCTGTTTTCAACAGTGGAGTTAATAAGAAAGTGTTGAGGCTCTGAGGAATGCAGTGCAGTTTGTTCAGAGGAAATAAACTGGTTCTGATCCTTCTTGTTCCTAACTTCTGTCACCTCCCCGATGGACTCCACCTTGATGATCTGAATGTCGCTATCCTCCATGTCCATACTGTCTTCTGAAGGTTGAATACAAGGTGAATCTTGCTGCAGAGAGTCATCGTCTCCTTGATGTTCCTTCAGCTCAGAGGAGTCACTCTGCTGTTCACACTCCTTGCTCTCCAGCGGCTGCTTTGGCTTTATGAACTTCCAGAGGGCCTGTGTACATCGCTCCACGATGTGGCTCATCTGCAGAAAGCTGGCGGCGGTCAGGTAGTTCACCAGTTCCATTTCAGGGAACTCCAGAACGCCGCTGTAGCAGGACAGAAGCAGCTGCTTCCCCACTTCTGAGCTCTGCAGGATGGAGATTTTTACATCTCGGGAGTCGTTCAGTAAGAACTGATCTCTTAAAAACGGAGAGCCAGCAGCAAATACAATTTTATGCCCACGAACTTCAATGTCATCTATATGGACCACAACATCACAAAATTTGTTTTCTTCCCTCAGTTTGTTCATTTTCTGTAACATCGAATCCCCATAATTGTCAAACTTGAAGTGAAGAATATCTGATCTTTCTGACATTTTGGCACACCTAAGGAAAAGCAACAAGATAAAAAAACAAATGAGAAACTTTTTGTTTTCTAAAATGCAAGTTAGAAGGGTCTAAAGTAAGCATGTAAAGTGTGTGCTTAATCAGATGTTATGTTTTATCCTAGAAAACACTAAAGTCCATTACAAGTTAAAAGGAAAAAAAAAATCACATTTACACCATGCCTTGTGATATATTTTACTTTTTTCTAATTTAATGCAGCCTGGATATAAAGTAGAGGTGCTATGACACAAATTCTCCTGAAGCAGCACCCTGAAGAGTTAAGCAGTTTTCCACACTGCTTGTCTGGAATCTAAAGGGAAACCATGGGAGTATTTTTAGCAGCCTTAGCTCTTGTCAGGGTTTGCTTCCACATTAAAACTCCTCAGAGATTTTGTCTTTACCAACAATAATGTTCCATTAGTTTTTTGGTTCTTGATTCCTTCAATGTCTTAAGAGCTTTCATAACAAATGAATTAAAGGTGAGACAGATCCTGGCACTCAGCAGACATACACACATCCCTCTTAAACTTCTCTATCACGTGCTGCTTATAAGTTACAGTCCAAGAACAGTCGCTACAGTTCCTCCAGGACGTGCCACAGTTTGCAGGAATATTGATCTCATTGCTAGCCCTGTAATTTTGACAAGCCAGGAAGGATTAAGCAAACTTCATGGTATCTGCAGCACTGGGTTTAATGCATCTTTTCAGACTGAAGTTTTTCTCTGGGGAATAGTTTGCTGTGTCTTTTTTTTTTTTTTAAAAAAAACTACAGAAAAAATATCTTCTATAGGGCCCCTCATTATGTGAATCATGCTGTCTGGGCTCCCTGTTCTGAACAGCTGGGGAATGGAAGAAGATTGTTTTGTGTCATATTCTTTGGAAGATCACTCCTCTACAAAGTTTGCTCTTGTTTGATAGTATATGGACCAAAGAACAGTGGATCTCCCATAAAACAAATATCAATCTTTTGTCTTTCAATTGTTCTTTTAAGAATTTATCTGACTACACCGATTCTTGATGAAACACTGTTCATGCAATCCTTCCAGAGAACTGGGATTGCAGGAAGTGAAGAACTCACAGGAGACTAAATGATGCAAGATTTGGTGAGATAAGATAACAAAATAAAGCAAAACTTAAACCTCAACTATTACAAACACCACATAAAGCTTGAAAGGAAGCTTTGAAGTTTATAGATAAAAGTAGATATTGCTCTCTGGGGGCATGAAGCATCAGCTCAGTGTACACAACAGGAAATGGAGCTGTGCCTACTGCAAGGAACACAGACACAAGACAAAGGTTCAAAGAACATTTTTAGAAGTATCTGCTGATAATCAGGGTTGTTTCAATTCGCTGATCAGACATCATTCAGAGATGTGACCTCCTCACTACTTGAGCCCACCAAGTACATCTTCCAAAGCACAGCTTGTCAGAATTAGAAAAGGGTTTCAGAAGCCTTCAGAAACAAGGTTGCATGGAAAGTTTGGAAGCAAGAAGCAACATCAGCCTGCAGTGCAACTAATTCTGCTGAGTCTACAGAAAGTAGAGCTACCTATCCCTTACTCATCCTATCTTCAGTTCTGCCCAACTCATCACTAATTCTGGTGAAAAATGTTTAATTTTAGGAGTCGATAGCCTTTAGCAACAGATCATCATGAAGTGTCTTCAGTGAATTTCAGGCAATATTGAACTGTTTCTTTTTGTGTTTTCTCTCGGAAGCGATGAGGGAACTCTCCTTGTGAGCCTGCTTGTTCCACCCCGGGACACTACCACACAAACGTGGTCGAAGTGCCCGTGCCAAGGTGACA